CTCTTTTAAATCACAAACAACAGGAAGAAGAGAGTTCCTTTCTCTTAAATTTCATGCGGCAACAGGGTGGAAGTTATGTCTCTAAGCAGCAGTTTTTGAAAGACAATCAAACAAATTCAAAGTGAGGCAGGCTTTTTCATTCATATCACAGTGCAGCTTGCTTCAACACCAGGAGGGAGAAATTACTTTACCTCAGTGTGTGACTCATATGTATGAGGCCAAGAATTATCAGATCAGCCTCACTACAAGTGTGTTAAAACTTTACTAACCCTCTGAGATGAAATAAAGTTGGAAACGTACATAAGCTAAGCTGGTAAGACAGGAGAATGCGGTTATAAAATAGATTTCATGACTGTTATTCTTATGTGCCTGTTGCCGTTCAGCAGAAGCTGTTATGTCTGTACGACTGATACGATGTGTTCCCGGCTTTTATAGTAAGCTTTTCATCAAATAGCCTTGGTTTCAGCTGTCATTCGGCAAGTCTTTCAACACAGCACATTATGGGAGAAGTTTGTATCTTAAAGCAGAAATCCTTTCACAGCATTGCACAACATCAATCTGTGATGTTTGCTGCATATTTCAGGACTTATTTATCATTAGGTTTTGATTATATTCATTAAAGTTCTTTCATTTGTTTCCTTTCTTGGTGTCAGAAAATCAGTATCCACAAAGCAAATGTTTTCAAATAATAAAACATTAAACTGACTTCTTTTCAATTTTTACAAGTAGATGGAGAATGACACTGGAAGATGAAAAGAGAAGAAGACAGATCTTTTCTCCTTAATCCAAAGACACAAAAACATAATATGTCTTTATGGCGTCATTGCATTTTGAACCACTGAGGCTCTTTGTAAAGAATTTCTCGCTGTATGACTGTTAAGCTTTGGTGCAAAAATTCTGGAAAAGTGAATCTAAGACTGACCAAATCCAAAACCTGAAGACGACTGTTGATGTTTGAGTTATTTCCAATATGAAACTGCATTGCAGCTGTGCAGGGAGTGTCCCAGTATGAGGTCATGTTTTCTGTGTTTGGTCATGTTATTCCACAGGAATGAGAAAAATACGTGACCGAAAACCTGATCCACAAAGGTATATTACCTGTAGTGTTAAAGTGCTTTGGTTTCCTATATAATGTACAGCAGGCCTTAATATCTGAGTCTGTGAGGTTGTTCCTTAAAACAGGCTCATGCTGCTGCAGTAGTATTTTGTTTATACGCCTTATGTTTCTCCTTTCAAACTCCCATGGCAGCAGCAGCAGCTTGGGATTATTCAGGACGTTGCATCAGACCCAAACAGCCACTTGTTATTTATATATTTTTTATTTATTTTAGCGCCTGCCTTCATGAGAAACATCAACACTGTAGGTGACGCTGGTGATAATCATGCAGATGACTCAGACTTTGGATAACCCATCCAATATTTGTTTACAATTAATTGCAACCATAGCTACTTTGGTGCTCCTTCCTCATGTGGCCTTTTTTGGGCGGGGGGGGAGTTGACATCGTAATTATCCTGCATCACTGATGACTCTTCAGGTGATTGTAAAATCATTAAGATGATGCTCTGGCAGATGTTTGTGTCTAATTGCCTTATTAGCAGGGAGGATGGAGAGGAGCCGAGGTTTGACGTTCCCTTCAACCTGCAGTGTGATTGATCCTCAACTGACACCTTGTAAACAAGTAAGTAAGTAACTGTGCACCGACAGCAGTTTGATAAAGTTACGGTGATTGTATGTGTGCCACAAGATCCCAACACATGCTGCATACAGACGACCACATTTCCACCTAGCTGGTTCATGGGTCTTGGGAAGATTGGGCAGCTACTGCTTATCAAGAGAAGCCAAGTGTAAATGCAACCAAGAGGGATTATAGAGATGGATTGAAATCATAGAAGAACCTTCTATCCAGATGTTTTAAACTGTCAAGGCATCTGTCTTTTGAAGTTGCGTACATAACCTGTAAGACCTTAGTCACTCCTTACACTTCCGACCACATCTAGAAGTAAAAATGTCTGGAACTTCTGAAGGGCCACACTCGAAGACCGGGTGAAAAGCCTGCTGTTATCCTCCTGATTGCATCCTTCTGCCTCCCCAATTTTAGTCCCAGAACTCAGTGTCTTTGGCATGTCTCTGCATGATGAACTGTACAAATGGGGCCAATGGCACATACTTTCAAGTCTCTCTCCGCAAAGGCACTCATTCAGTAATGTTTGCATTTGGTTGCAAACACACGAAAAGTTCAAATAAAAAAGAGAGCTTGTGAGAGAAGTTAAACTCTGCCTACTTTTACACCTCCACACACCTGACCACTTACTGTACAGCTGACATGATTGTCGAATTGTCTGTTTTTTGAAAGTTGGCAGACACAGTGTCGGATAGAGGGTTAGGGTTAGAGGATCTGACAAACACTTTGAAGAATATTGAGCACTTTACTCTTCCCAGTCAGAACTACATTAGTAAGTCTTGTGCCAGTAGCCACTTTTGGGGACTTGCCCCTATTATAGCGGGCAATGGTAAATGGATGGCACTTACTTTCCTACCTTAACTGATAAAGCACTTAAGAATTTCTCTCTCATTTACACATGCCGATGGTTGGGACAGGCCAGACCATCAGGAACAATTTGGAGAAACTTCGACATGTAGACAGGAGGACCCAGCAAGTGGACAGGGATCAAACTACCAACCCCGCAATTAATGGATGACCCGCTCAATCTCCTGAGCGGAGCTCTCCTAGGCAACACTGAACTTATCTAGTGTTTGGCTGCGCATTAGAGCAACAAGTACAAAGCAGCTCGAGGTTTTTTGGAGTTTATCTCGCCGTATGGAGTGCAGTATGTCCCAGACAGATTTGCATGTAACACAGCAAAACCCAGATGGATTTATTTATCTGGCTCACAGATACACATATTTGTAGCTAACTGTAATGAAAGTGTATACAATATGGATTTATAGACCTGTGTAAGTAGGGCCAATGGGGCGGCTATGGCTTAGGAGGTAGAGCAGGTCGTCCACTAATCAGAAAGTTGATGGTTCGATCGCTGCATCCTTTGCATGTCGAAGTTTTCTTGGGCAAGGTACTGAACCACAAATTGCTTCTGATACTGTGCCATCGGTGTGTGAGTGTGTGTGAATGGAATTAGTTTTTTTTCTTATTGTTGGCACCTCCATAATCAATGTATGAATAGGTGAATGTGACATATAGCATAGAGCACTTTGGTGGTCAGAAGATGAGAAGGGTGCTATGTAAGTGCAGTCCATTTACCATGGTTAAGTTTCACCACAGAACAAATCACTTGGCAAAACCAGTTGTTGATTTACAGTTAGCCGTAGTCTGAAAGGGATCAGAAGTATCACTTTGCAGTTGCTATATATTCATTTCCAAACACTTAACATTGCACCAACAAAGACATTTTGAAACACCATGCTGTGATTCCTGAGAACAAAAGAGCAAACGCCCTCAGAAAGTCATATCCGGCTACAGAAGTCAAGTCTCTCACTAATCGAGGAAAGCTCTCACAGTTTAGGAGACTGCGTCTCTCCATCTCTTTTACCCCACTGAGTGTAATCCCGGTTGCCTGGCGGAGGTCATAGAGCAACATCTGCCAGCGCTGACCTGCCTCCCCTGCTCCCTACCATCCCCCCTCCTGTCCAGTTCTGGATTAGAGATAGCCTAACCCCCCCCACCCCCACCCCCGACACTGCATGCTGCTCTGCATGGATTAACTCTCAGAGAAGCCACACTGCTATCACACATTAACCTGCAATCACAAGTCTCTTGTGCAGAGAGCACCCGCAACAGATCTCTAGAAACGGCTGTCAGAGTCGGACACAAACACACCATAAAGTCTGTTTTTGCGCACCGTGAGAGCAACATGTTATTCAGAGTGAGCTGTAGTTGAGCCAAGTTCAGAGGCAACCAAATGCTGAGACTCCTTCCCTGTTTCAGTGATTAATGAGCAAGATCCTATGGTTTGTAAAAAATTATGCTGGTAGCAGCGGCTTTCATTCTGGCACTACATTTTTTGAGTTCGCAGCACTGCTGCAGACTGTCGTATCATCTGTCTGTGAAGATGTTTGCTGGGAGTGAAAATGGGTTTTGTGGGATGTAGAAATCACGTTCCATCTCTTTGACTTCTTATTGCTCCAATAGCTGTGCAGCATGTTATTCATTTCCATTATTATTCGTCCACTCAAACCTGATAGATTAAAGGAATGACATTCAGCAGAGGCTTTCTCAAAGGAGCCTACCCTCTGTAATGGAGAGAGATATGGACACACACACACATCTTTATGCTTTGGAAACTAACACATAAACAGACAGACAGACAAACAAGATGCTCACACAATAGAAACTTGCCTGCCTTGCCACTAGCCAGTACAGTATGTTGACGAGCTTACAGAGGCAGTCAGACTCAGCTGAGCGCAAAACTGCGACTAATTTGAAGCTTCACCAAGAAGCCATGAATCATTCAGCCCAGTGAGACTGATCGACAGTATAGACCGAGCACCCTGTAGACAATGGTTATATGAAAAATGCACACATACAACTGTTGACAGACACATGCAATCATTTGCTCCAATACAATCACACATATCATCCTTTCAGTTGGAGGAGAGCAGAGGAGGAGGGGGGAGCCGTATTCTTTGCAGCAGCAACAGTTGGCTGTCGACTGAGAGGGAAAGAGTTAGCTGCAGCACAGAGACACACACACGGGGACACAAAATATGCATGCACACACATACACACATACGGCAGGAGATTGGAGATAGAAAGAGATGGACAGGGAGCCGAGAGAAGAAATGGTGACAGATAAAGCCACAAAGCCACACGGCTGGAGGGATGCCTGGCAACCGGTGGCAAAAATGGACATGCAGTAATAAGAGAAAGGGAGAGGGAGAGGAAGAACTAAAAGGGGTAGACACACACACACATGTAGACATGTTGGAAAACACAGTGGTAAACAGTAGGATGGAGACAACAAGAAGGGAAACCATTACTCACTGGAGTCATCTGAGTCGTATCCCTCCACGTCTGGCTCCTCGTCCCTCTTGGTGGCCTGTAAGGAGGCGGAGGCTCCGGCACAAGCCCGGTCTGGTTTATCCTCATTGGGGCGGTCACTTTCGGCAGCAGCGGTGGCGGAAGCGGCGGCCGAAGAGGTGGAGAGGGCAGAGCACAGGGGCCCGGCGTGGCCCGCTTGGTGGGGCGCAATGGGGGGAAGGCCCCGTGGGTAACGGGGGAAGTAGTCAGAGATCTGCTTGATGGGCTGGATGGGGCCAGGGCACACGTCAATGGCCATGTGCTCCTGGATGCTGATGGTGGGTTTCTCGCCTTTGCGTTGTGTCATGCATGCGGTCCAGCCCGGAGCCTACTCCCAAAACCAAAAAAACTGAGAAAAGAAAAAAAAAATAAGACAAACCGACCCACCCCCCTCGTCCTCCTCCTCTTCTTCCTCTTGCCTCTGTGGAAGAGGTGGGTGTTGTCCTGGGTGGGTGCTGATGGGTGGACAGGTCCAGGTGATCTGTGGATGTCACCACACTGGTCTACATGGAGATCTTGGAGGCTGCTGCTGCGTCTTCCAGTGCTGTCCTCAGACCCAGACCATGCTGTCTGACAGCCTCACACACACTACTACCTACCCTCCCGCTCTCTCCTCTTCCTATACCCCCACACTCTGCCCACGTCTGCGCTGCCTATCTGAGAGAGAGAGAGCAGAGAGAGTGGTGTTTGTGTGAGGGAGTGTGAGGGAGAGGGAAGGGATTAGAGAGGAAGGAGGGAGGGATCAGCTGATGTCACTGCCTAGCAACCGAGCGGTAAACAGGAACCGTCGGCCGAGGTGCTTAATTATGATATTAACCCCATCCATCTGTCAGTGGGAGGGAAGATCCAGTGCCGTGCCAGACTCATGCGCATGTGAATGTGTGTGTCCTTGAGTGCGTGGGTGTGTGTGTGTGTACCTCTGGTATATGATAACCTGGACAATGAGCCATGAATTGATGCTTTGTGTTTGTGATTCACCTGCAGGATGTTATCGCACTGAAAATGGGTCTTTTGTGCTCTTTAACCTGAATACTTTTCATTGCAAATGTAAAAATTTAAGTTTTGTATCATTTCCTTGCTTTTTGAGTTCTTCCTGAAGGCCTGCACTTGCATTTTTCTATCTGTGATGTCAGTATTTTTGTAAAAAACAATTTGAGTAGAGGGGGCCACTCAAGGCAAGGTGTCCCCCTCGGGCCCCAAAATGGCTAATGCCACCCCTGCTTACCCCCTCTTTTTTAGCCATTGCATCCTGGTTTTTCTTTTTCCACTCTGCTTGTACACTAATTGACACACTTTCATTCATGCTTTCATTCATGCACTCTGGTCTGTTTAATGTATAGACCTATTTCTACTTCCCTATGTACCAATTATGCACCCTGATGTTATCATATGTTCCTTAATTACAAACCATCTGTTTGCATTTTATTTTGTAGCTGTGGCAATTTCACACTTGTTTAATACGCATATTGCCACATTTCACCATTGTGAATAGATGCGATTGACATAGCAACTGTTAAATTAACTGACACAATGATGTCTTGTTAAAGCTGCAATATAGGTGAGACCTTTATGTAAAAATACACCTGTCCTGTCATTGTACATCAGTGCTACTACATCCACTAAATATCTGGTAGAAATGTGCACATACTGTACAGAGTAATCCTTTTGTCTTTTAAAATTATAAACAGTAACCCTCTGCTGCCAAAGATGCAAATGCAGCTTTAAATTCCAAAATGAAAGTGTCATTTATTTATATTCACGGTATGCCAAACTTGATTTATTCCCCCTAACACAGCAGTAAATGCTCAACACTTTTCATGCTCCTCACATTACGTAACAAAGAGACTCGCAGTCTCTCATGAGAGGCTTTCCCTGCAGATTTACTGGGAACTCTAACCTCTACAGCAGCTCTGTCATCACGTTTAGCCATTCACAAACACAACAAACATGTCTACAGTGAACAGATGATGCAGCACCCTCTTGTGTAAGCTATTGGCAACAAATTGAAGCTTTTTGGAATTGAAATTCAAAGGCTGTACTCCAGCTAATGGGTGGTTTTATTAGTTTTATAAGATAATTTGACATAAAATGAAGATATCTGATGAAGTTTGAGCTTCTACAGGTGGTGCTCTTTTCAGGTGTTTCCTTCCTAGCCTTATGCTACCTACATATTTTCCTCTATATATTCTAAATGAACCAGGATGAACAAAACACATCCTTTACGTGTTATAGTCCACAAAGGATGCTTTACATCACTGCCGTGGGGAGGCTTTTACCTCCAGAAAACGACTCTCTGTGGGTGCCTTCTGAACAGGTGGTCTCAATTATGGCATGCATAGCTTGAGTCTACATCATTGAGCTGGAGGAAGCACACACAGGTGCAGCTGACTGGGTTAATAAAGAGCACGCCGATTTCTGATTGGCTCCTGAATGAGAGAGTCTGAATCTGAACCAATAGCTGTCTCTTAAATTTCACCCCCATTTATTACCCCTCTGTGCGTGTCAGATGTTCGCCACAATATCTTAACAGAAGTGTGTCACTATTGTGTTTCCTGCTGTCATTTCTGTCTCCTTTGTGAGAATAAATGGGGTGTTTAAAACCAGTTTTATAAAGCCTCCACTCCCCTTTAAAAGAAGTGCAGTCCCTGTGGTGACTCATTGACAGTTTTGTCATGGAGCGCCCAGACCAGTCTCTCCCAAAAGGAAATTAAGGTGCTTGGGGTCCAATGGCTTCAATATAGAGCACCTCAAATATGAATACACTGCACACTAAATATGCCACCTAGGGCAGATGAATTCAACTCGGAAGTTGACTTCATGTTGCTGCAAATACAAACAGCCTGGTGACCATGTTTTCTGTGGGTAATGATGCACACCAAACGATTTCATTTTGGATATTGATGGGATGGCATCACCTCATTGGAACACTAGCTGTGTCTGTATACCTTTGTTAGAAATAATGAGGTGTTCAAAGTTGTGTAGAAGCAGATCTCCATGTCTATAAAATATGTTTCACTGTTTGTTCATTTGACTGAAGTGATTGAATAGGATGCATTCACACTTTAATGGCATTATTGCCAATACTGAGAGACAATAGTCTGTGTATAGATCATTTTACAAACTCAATTCATCACAATAATCCTGTTAACATAACAAGATCACTGATTGTTGACGTCTGTTTCTGATTAATGAGAATCTAGGGAAAATTGTAGAAATTGCAAACTTCACACATACATCTTCCTCCCCAAAGACTTTCTAGAAAATGTGTAAAGTCTGTCACAAGGAAGAAGATGTCCCATGTTGCTAGCCCCAGCAAAAACCCAGCATTCTGGATTCTTGGTAGGAAGGATAAGTAGGTAAGTAAGTTCAGTTATGAAGAGAAAAGAGAGAAGTTTAGAAAAGAACTGAGTGATCATCAGATCTTCCTAAGGACGTCTCAGGTACGGCTGATGAACTGCACTGTACAAACTGTATGTAGAATGCCATCAGTTGATAAGTCTGGTCCAATTTTACAAGAGTCTGTCGCTTGTTGCAGCACTTTGAAAACATCTTTCAAAAAATCAGTACAGAACACATCCTGCCACCTTCAGATAAGTGCATGGACTTAATCAGCACGAAGGAAAAGAACTTCACTTCCTACAAGATGTTGTGGATGACAGATATGGACAACAATCACTCCATAATCTAATCCAACACACACCTTCTTGGCATTATGGCCTAAATCATATTTAATTTGTATTTTTGATGTGCATGTGGAGAGGTGTATGTATGTGTGTGCCACCTGCATCTGCACTACAAGATGATGTGAGAGGACAAAATTACACTGCATCGACCAATCTGTTTTTTACTCTCCCCTCAAGTGTTCATTTTAGTGACATGATGTGCCATGAAATTACAGAATGGGTAGAAATCCACTTGTGCACAACCAAATTACCATGTTGTCAGTCTGAGGTCTAAGGTTTGCAGCAAAACAGGGCCTTATTTTGGTAATGTGACAAAATGCATCCCTGTCCATCTCAAGAGGTGTTTCGGGGCAATCAGATTATCGGTCTGTGCTCACTGCAATCTCGAGAGCATTTATACCTGCAGGTAAGAAAGGAACAATTATAGCAGCAGCGTCAAGAGTTGGGTCGAATGTTTTCAAAAGTTGTATTCCCTCTTATCTAATTTATTAGTTATTATCTGTTATTTAATGTCATATTTAATTGGTTTTATTATTACATTTTCATCATTTTCGTTCTTGTGGCAGTTGTGTGAGTGGAACTCCATGAAACCTCACAGGTTTAAATTGGAATACTGAAACTGAAAAGAAACTCAGAGGGCTGTTAGAGTTTCCATATTCACAATACTATATATGTGATTTTTCGCAATCTCTAGCTGTAATCTCTGTTGAACTGAATGTGTTGTGTCCATTTGACTTACCCATGGATCCACCCCTATTCTGTCAAAATGGTGACATTTAACCCACAATGCACCTCGGTTTATGGGAGATGGAGTGTGTTGAAAGCAGCTAAAAACAGGAATATCAAATGAACTGTGATTATACGTAGTTTGAATGACCAGCCCTGTCTAGACAAATTTAAAGACCTGCACATAATACAGCTGAGTGAGGTTGGGTTCTGAGACTGGATTTAGCTATTTGAGTTATTATAAATTTCAGTGTGATTTTGAATGAGCTTTCTCACTTTACTTCTGGAAAAGAGAAGTTCTGGCGTCTCTTTGGCTCGCTATATCAGCCTAGTTCTCATTTTTGTAGTTGGCTACCATTCGTATCAATAATGACAATGTCAATCATTGAGATCTGATAGAAACACGAGTGGTTAGCTACACTTGGAAGACCTATCATACATATCATACTTGTGCACCTACACATAGTTTTTCTGTACAATGTGGAATGGTAACCGACACTTTCAGTCTTACCACCATGATAAAATGGTTTACATAATCTGGCTAAACTCCTGGTTTGTCTGATAATTTGACTTCTCGGAGCTCTTTCTTCATCTGACTTCATTCTGTAACGTCACTGTCTTTTCAGACCTCAGCAGTTACTTTGATGAGTGCTAGAAGTGATAGTGAAAATAAGTTAGAATAAATTGGAACTATACTTTAAATTATAACTTGTTTGGCATGTTGTGGTTTCATCCAGGCAGAGGTGTCAAACATAATGAAACTGCAGTTATTTTCCTTAAAACTGGCTGGTTTTTATAAAAGATGGTTCATTAATTGTGAACATTTTCAGAATGTACTTTACACTAAATGAAAGGGAAACATTTGGAAGTGTTGTTATTAATAGGGTTATTATGCAATGGTTTTACTGGTCCAGCCCACTTGAGATCAAACTGGGCTGTGTGTGGCCCATGAACTAAAATGAGTTTAACACCCCTGACAGAGCATATTGTGACAGGCAGTGCACTCTCCGTATGTAGGACAAAAAAAGAAGAAAAGTTTATTGAAAAAGTTTCTTTATGTAATGATTTTGGTCAAATTAAGTGAATAATTTACCACCCACGCAGTTCTGCAACCCCATTAATTTTTATTGTGTTTCATTTTCAATAATATATTCAGTCCATATTCCATCCAGCCCATGCTCTCTACTGTCTCTGTCTGTTGGTGAATGAGCTGCTGCCTCCCTTTTTACTCCCTTGATCATTAACTTCTGAAAAGAAATCTGCAGAGGGAGAAGTAAATG